TTTTTTTTTTTTTTTTTTTTTTTTTTATTTTTTTTTTTTTTTTTTTTTTTTTTTTTTTTTTTTTTTTTTTTTTTTTTTTTTTTTATTTCAGTGGAAAACACCCTGTAATTCAGGGGAATTACTTGATTGGTCTTCTCTGAAATGAAACTTCAGTTACAGTGTAGAGAAATGAAGTAAGACTAGCAAAGGCCATGTTGAAAATAAATAAAAGAGGATATTTCTTTACACTATGTGTAGTTAAGGTGTAAAAATTCATGTGAATATCAAAAACTTACAGAGATTTAAAAGGGACATACAATTTCTAGGAGAAAATCCAATCACTTTGTGTTGCAAGTGATCCAAGAATTTTTTTATGGTTCTATGTAAAAAATTGTAGAGGCAAATCTTAAGATCAATGATTTTGTCCACATAATGATATACCCATAAACATGATATAAATCCCTGTGGTTTACAGGGTCAATTATCATTTCAAATTGTCTCTCTGACAGCAGTGTTTTATTTGAAAAATAAGAACAATTGATTTTGACAATCAGGTGCATCAGCACAATAAACTAATTATTAAAGGATCTATATTAATTGGCTATACTACTTAAACTTGATGTTGTGAGGAATGAAATTGGTTTAGCCAGGTAAGAATGATGGTTTCTTTTTTAGACATAAACTATTCTGTTCATAACATGAACACCAAAATAAGAAATAACTTACCTTAAATTTACTGTGTTAATGTACGTCTGCCCCTCAAACTCCTCAGACCTTCCCTGGAGTAGCTTAGCAAAGTTTTTCTAGTAGTGCCTGTTACACATCAAATGTGTTCCTTATCAGGGCATAAGAAACATGGTGATAGCAAGTGCCATGAGATCATTGTAATAGAGATGGCAACTCTTCCAACTTTGGCAAAGAAAGTTCTTGTAAAGCAAGCATGAGGTGTTGGGGTTTTTTCCCTGTCTGAGGGTTGATTGATGCAACCAACGCTTACCAGAAAATAGTTTGGGCTCTACAAGTCACAGAAGATACAACAGAATTTGAGCTGATATAATCAGTGATTCACTCTCCTTACTTCTGATCCTCTGTTGATCCTGCAACCAGCATTTGATATTTGGTAATTTATGCACCAAGGATCATGTAGCTGCTCAGTAAATCTCTACAACTGCAACCCTTTTAAGGTACACAGTGCAAACAGCTGAGCCCTGCTTGAACAAGCTCTAACACGAGTCAGAGGATTTATGTTGTTGATATTACATGCTGATCTAATAAGGATTTTGATGGTCTCTGAGCTGAAACAGGTCTTTCCCTGTATCCTCAGCCAAAGGAAAGAAAATCCACATAGTCCAGAGTTGCTGAAACTAACTCTTCATCTGAAAGACAATATCTTTTTACATCTATGACATGAACTTTTTTTATTATGTTTGGGCAGAATTTTAGAAAATGCATGTTTAATTATAAACACAGACTGAACAGAGAGAAGTGAGAGATCATATTTTTTAATAATTTGCTAGAGACCATTCAAAAAAAATAATTATTTTTTCAATAGAATATGATGTTAAATGTTTTCTGACAAATTGCATTTTTCCTATCTGCAAACTAAGGTAATAGTAACTACAAGTAGCCTTTCACTGATGACACAGCACTTCAAATGACAATTCCAACAGTTTGGAAAGAAAACCAAGTTTAATTCTTATAAGGACTCAAACGGAGAATTAATATGGGGAATAAATCCAGATATGCACTAAATGTTTGGGAAAAGATTACTTAGATGTTGAGTTATAAAAATAATAAACGCTGATAAAATAATAGTGAACAAAATGCTACTAAAATAATATAGGCAAATATAAGCACATATCTGTCTGCTTTGACATTCCAAGTGTTCCAAAATAAATGGTATGTAATGTTATACAATAGTATACAATTCTTCATTTGAGCCAAAGCTGGAAAATATTTTTCTTCATGGACAGCCTTTCCTGTGTATGAAATTTTCTTGTCTTCTCCAAATTAGTTTTTGGTACATGAACTAAGTTTTATTGACAATAAAAAGAATCTGTGGCTATAGTATAAGATCTGAATGTTCTAAGATTATTTTACTTTGATGTACCCTTTAGCCATGATTACATTGGTGCAGAAGATGTGGAAAAAAAAAAAAAAAGGCAAAATTTTGAAGTACTAGAAATATTTCATTTTATCCCACTTGAACCTTCTCTAGAGTCCTGGAAATGAAGTAAAGACAATAATCTTGGAGAAATCAAAGGGTTTACCAGTCTAGAGGTCTGAACTGGTAAGGCAGAGACCAGTTGCAAGGCAGGAAACAGTCTGTTTTACAGGTTATGTGGTGACACTGGTTTTTCAGATGTGTAAGAAAAAAATTAGCATCTAGTTGGGATCTTCCTGATGAAGGTGTCTACCTCCAAATTGTAAAAACGAGAATCAGAAACTCATGTGCAATCTGATGATCTGCTTGCTATGACTGATAGAATTTTCAGGACTCAACCTGTGATCAAAACACCTATAAAAGAACCATAAATGGCTCTGGCTAAATAGCAGTGTATTAAATTTATTACTGTCAAAGAAAGATTTGAACAGATCTCACAACTGATTACTCATTTTTGGTCCTATCTTTATTTGCAATCAAGAAACACTGATTACAGTGGGGAATCTTTTCCTTTGTGGAGTCCAACCTCTTTGAAAGTCAAGAAGTGTCTGTTCTAGAATTCTTTTTCTGAAAGTTTCAATGAAACTCTAGAGATTTTTGCACATACTTCACCATCAGGTCTGTCGGTAACTACATTTAAAGAAGCTTTGAACTGGAAGGACAAACTGTCTTTCAGAACATAAGATTTGAGTGTCTGTTTTGTGTCTATTAAAATTTTGAAATGTGTTCCTACCCTGCTGAATAGAAATGTACCTTTATAGTGCTGCTTAACAATTAAGTAATTTTGTATCCAAGTCATGGATAGGAGACAAATAAGTTTTTCTTATTGAAAGAATCAAAGATGGGGGAGAGCTTTGTCTATGACTGGAATTTTGCCTCAACTTAAATTTTGTGATCTGTCATGATCACAGATGTTCAGTGGGAGCAAAACAGTAGTCAAGATATTCAGAAAACAACTGGATATTTTCTATTTTCATTTTGCAAGGTCAGAATATGGCACTGCATCTACCATTAAGCACACATACTTTTTGTATAATTGAGTTCAAAAGAAATGCAGGCGACTGGAAAGTTCCTAAGCCTTGAACCAATATGAGATGAATATCAAGGTTTTGATAATTCCCTTCAATAACTCCTGAAAATAATAATAATAATAATAAAGTAAAATTGTGTTGGAAAGCACACTAAAGAATTGGCATCATATAAGCAGATAAAGAAAATGGACTGATGAACAGATAGGTCTTCATGGTATCTGATGCCGTGATTGTGTTAGGGCTCAGTACGGATTTGCTGGCAGCAACCTGGATACGTCACTTAAGTAAGTCACAGTTCTTTTCTTTTGTGATATCATGGAAACAGATTGGTATCAAAGCACTGAACTGGAAGTACAAGCACGACGCCTTCAGGTGGTAGGGGTCACTGACTCCACCAGTGGTGTCAGGATTAAAGCTTCAGAATGCACGCAGGTGAATTAGTGACTACACAGAAGTGAAAAATAAAAAGGTATTAAAGTAAGCAGAACACAAGTTAAAGTTCAAAGACAAAAAGGAATTGAGTAAATTTTACTGCTGTTGCAGAAAACATGAACAACAGACCATAAAACAAAAAGGAAGAGGAAACGCATCTTGACTCTGATGCTAAGTATGGAAGAGTGCACTATGGAAAAGTGTAACTTTAAGAGATTTTATTACAAGTTAATTATAAACAGTTGTTATGATATAAAGTGCCAGTAAGTCAGGGAAGAAGATTGAGGAGGATCCAATGCAATCCATTGGTTCTGAATGCTAATGGAAGAAAACATCAATCATTCAAAGATCAGAAAAAGTAAAGAGCAGATTCTTCAGAATTATATATTTGATAGCAAAATGTCTCTATATCACAACAGATGACTACCTTTTTCTTTTTTTTTTAATACATTAGCTTTAAAACCAACAGTTACATTTATTGAGAATAGTGTGGAAACAAGAAATATAAAAATATTCCTTCAAAGTGTGTTATGTAATCTAAAACATTAACATTGAATTTAGGCTCAGTGTTTCTGATTTTTCCATGCAGAAAGTTTTTATTTCACAAAAAATAAATGTATTTGCTTGGACTAAAGTCAGTCTATAAATATAAATAAATGAAATTTCATGTTCACTGAGTATTAAAACTCAGGTTAAAACTGATATAAATACAAAAAAGATTTTGAAATTACATAAAAATAAGAACTTTTTCAATCCTACATTATTCTCTATACTTAAGTTTATATGCTTTGTCTGAAGAGAAAAAAAGGAAAGAGTTTATGATTTCATTATTTTCTGCATAACATAGTTTTAGACTGTTAAACACAAACTTATTTGCCTATTATTGCATCATTAATTTTCCTTCTATATCATCACAGTTTGATTAGATATACCTGCCAATATTTTTAGAGCATGTTATGAGAGAGAACTTCACTTGCAATGCTATTTTGGA